TCTCTTGATTTTGAAAGGTGCTAGGCAGCACATCAAAATCCTTCATTTTGTCATCTGAAAATTAAGCCCCAGGTTGTCCATCTGTTATAATAGACATACTGTGTGTTCAGCCTTTTCATCACTCTTGTAGACAGGATTACTCAAATAACCCAGCTATCTAGATACTTTACCTCCAACACTCCAACACTGTGTGTTGCTCACTGTTCTTGAATGCTGAAAGCATAATAAGGATTACAGGGGTACCAGACGGGCTGAACTGGTGTATAGCAATATAGCCTGGCCAGTGTTTGCAATCTCATTGTGGGTATTGTGATGGTTGATGCATATCTTCAACTTCTACCTTTCAGAGCTGCGTGAAAAGTTGCCTGGTTTATGGCTTTCTTTGTGGAAACTGTACAGCAGCACTCCTGTTTGTCCTTATTTTGGTGAAGAAAGGCCATTTCTGGCTTTCCCAGTTGTGCAGAGGAACTGCTGGTGTAGTCCAGCTGTACAACTGAAATAAATACAACTAAATAAATGAAGTGGACAATTCCCCTTTACTTTTTACATTGCTGACCTTATAATCAGGAATGTTTTGCATGGAATACAGCTAACTTTGGCTGATGCAGGCTAACTATTCCCTGGGCACCCAGTGGGGAACGAGGGCTTCATTCAGCTGCTTTGAATCATCTTGTGGCTGAGACCCCCCACGAGCAGGCGGGGGCTGTGCTTTGGTAACCTGAGGAGGAGCTGGGTTGGGAGGTGTGTGTGTACCAGTGGTGAGCAGCCCCCACAAAATGCCTCAGCCGAGTGCTGTCATCATCTCGTGTTTGCAATTGCCAATTGTTTACTGTATCTGTAGCAGGGTTATTTGCAAAATTATGTTATCAACTACGTAAATACTATGACTGTAGAACAGAAATAGGGAACGAAATTTTCAAAGCTGTGTACACTGATCCTGCATGTCTCTTAGGTCCTGTATGTTGTAACCCAACAGAAATCCTCAAATTTGATTGTTGCTCTAAAAGATGCTTTATACACAGCTCGAACCTCCCATCTGCATATCTGCTTTTCCCACTGACCCATGAACATGCTCTTCCTTCTTGCCCTAATTAGATGATAAAATACTCTGTTTCTGCTGTGAGGGAATAAGGCATGCAACCTGAAACACCCTGAAATCTGGAAATTCATACCAGCCAGCTGGATTGTGAGGCTATGGCCATTCCCTGACCTATTGGTGCATGGTAGAGAGCCTCTCACTAATTCTATTCCTCCACGAGTGGCTTGGAGACTGCAGCTTTTCCTTATGGCATTTGTTTTTTTTCTGCAGATAAAGCAGCTCCCAGCAGCTCCCCAGTTCTCTCACTGCTGGCTTGCAGTTTGGGGATGAGACTGGCAGGCATGGGGAGCAGAGAGCTGCCTGCTCTGCAGCAGGGCCCAAAAGCTGTTGGCCTGAGCTGGTCAGAGGCAACTCACCTGTGCAGGGCACTTCTGCCCTTGTCTTCCCCAGGCCCAGTTGCAGAGCCCAGAAGTTATCACAGAGCTGGGGAGCAGCAAGTGCCCCGGGCATGTCCAGCCAGGGGTGCTCCAGCAGGGCTTTGTTTATGTGCTGGGGGATTCCTTAGAGGCTTTGGTCAAAATATGAGGAGGCTGAGGGAGCTGCAGGGCTCATGGCAGTGTTGAGTGAGATGGTTTCACTGGAGAGAAGGAGCCAATGCCTGAGTCCAGCAGGTAGCCACTGGAGTTGGGAAGTGGCTGGAGCTGTTGGGATGTGCACAGTTCTGTGTAGGCTTGCAACATGGTGGAATTAGCTTGCTGAGAGCAGGAAGCATCTGTTGCTCCTGAGCCTGCACACAATATGCTGGCTTCTGGCTTTCCCTTTTATTTGAAGGGTGTTCTTATTTGCACGCTCTGTAAAACTTCTGAAAAGAGTTTTATGTCTTACTTGGCACACAAAAGGTGTAACCAGCTGTAGAAAGAAACAATTGTCAGGGCTGTGGCAAGTCCCGTGCAGCACATTGTAAGCCAGCAGGCTTTCCAGGTGCTAATCGCACAACACAGCCTGGGCACAGGTTCGTGCCATGTCACCTGGTGGTGACAACAGTGTGTGCAGCAGTGTGGGCTCCTCTGCTCGCTGAGCCTCTTGCAGCCCACAGGGCTCCTCGGTGGCTTTTGTGGGTCCTCAGCATCTCACAGGCTAAGGTTTCTGAGAGCCTCCGTGTTGTTTTGACTGTACTTATGCCCTGGCTGTCATCTGTAATCAAATTTACAGCAAACTGTGCTGTGAGTGGAAGTCAGAGAGTAAGGAGTGGAAGGCCCACAGGAAAACAAAAGGCACCTCAGCTCTGAAGCGTGCTGGTGTCAGCTTGTGCTGGCAGGGAGGCTCGTCATTGCCTGGTGACGCACTTACCCAGGCGGCGTCTCGTGTTTTGGGAGCCAGATGTGCTGTGCAGTTGCTAGTGGAAGTTAAATGTTAAATGTGAAACCCATTCATTTTCTCTTAGTCATACTTTGGATTTAAGCAGATGTTTTCCTAATTTGTGGTTTTCAAATGTAGCATGCTGACAAGACATTTATCATTAACTACACTTCATCCATGCAGTTTAGCAAATTGGCCAATTATTAACAGTGAGGGTTGCGTGGCAGTTGATGCATAGCTCCTGCTGCTTTGAAAGGCCTACGTTGAAATTCTATACATTTTTACAATATAAATTAATTGAGCTGTGGACCACAGCCCTGCAATTCCAGTGCTCCCTGCTCTCATTTTCAGAATCAACAGCCACGTATAATGCACGGAGTATCTATGCTGTCTGTGAGCAGAGGCTCCTAGTGGTGGAAGTGGTGGCCAACATTTCTCTAGCAGGGACATGAAAATGGCTGATGGTATCCAAGTGTAGGCAGCATGAGACACGGAGAGAGTGTGGCCACAGGACAGTGTATGTACACGTGGGTCCAGGAGGCATCCTGGGAGGGTGCAGGGGGAGCAGTGCAGGCAGGGTGGGTGCAGCTGCCTGGAAGCTAGTGCTGCCTAGTATTTTCTATTATTACATTTATCTTGCTTTAAACTTTGCTAGACTTTACCTCTTTTAATTTTTTTTTTTTTCCTATTTTATGTTTGCAAGGTTTGATGGGGTGGGGGGTGGAAGGGTTGGTGGTGGTGCTATGAGCAGGTGAGATGTCCCAGAGATGCTTCCTAAAGCCAGGAACCACCATATGCCTGAAAACACAATTTCCTATTTTCTCAGCTCTGAAATTCAAGCAGGCAATTTAGTCATCATTTATTCATCCTACGTACAAGACTTGAAGGAGAACAGTCAATGCACCTCTAATTTCTAGAAAGTATAAAGACCTTGATTTTTACCAGCTGGCACTGCAGAATTTTTGCCTTACATTCCAGCTGAACTGGGAAAACTCTTCAGGATTGCTTGTTCTTAGTTGCTCCAGCTTCTGGCAAATAATTCACCGTTTTCCCCTCCTCTGTATTTGCATCTGCACAACAGGGGCACTATATACTTTATTACAGAACAGGCTACCACGCAGATTAATTAAATGCAAACTGTAAACAATAAAAATAAATACACTTAGTGTATTTCATCTTGCTTTATGCAGCCAGATGTGTGAGATGTGAAGTACCTGTGGGGCTGGCCTTCCAGTCCCATTTGACGGCCTTTTCTTCACATCTCCCTGCTCTGTTGGAAAAGGGAGTAATGGTAGCATCACAAAAACAGTCAGGAGCATCAATGTCTCAGAAAGGAGCCAGGAGGTTGCATGAGGTGCAGAGAAGAGAAGAGGAGGCTTGGGGATGGCATGGGAGGACTTGTGTTGCCTCTGTTCCTGGTCTGCATTAGAATCCTATGGATACTTAAAATGAGCTGAAGGGCTGATTGAGAGGGTTGGTGAGAGGTGCAGTGGGGGTTTTAAAGCAAGATCTTTGGCACGGTTGTTTCCCTAGTAACTTTTTTTGATGTAAAAGGGTGCAGCAGCAGATGTTGAAGGGAAGGTGATGCGTTATGGCTGCACTGTGGGTAAAGGCCAACCTGCCTGCCTTGGGTTCAGACGAGCTCTATTTCCAGCAGTGGCCACGTATCCCACGTCAGGCTCTAGCAGGAGGCAAGCACAAGCAGATGTCGGGCCAGGGCAGCTAACCCGGATCCTGATTCTTTGCAGCGCTGCCAAGCTCCTGGAGAAGAGTCCGTTCCCTGCGGGCGCCCCGAGCCCCCTGCTCCCCTCTCCGGCCACGCTGCAGCTGGCGCAGCTGCAGGCGCAGCTCACGCTCCACAGGCTGAAGTT